AGAACATTGGGGCTGTTTAGCATGGAGAAGTGAAGCTGCGTGGAGACCTCAGAGCAGCTTCCAGTGTCTGAAGGGGGCTACAGGGATGCTGGAGAGGGACTCTTCGTCAGGGACTGTAGTGATAGGACAAGGGGTGATGGGTTCAAAGTGAAACAAGGGAAGTTCAGGTTAGGCATGAAAAGCACAATGAAAAAATACAATATTATTATGACTACTTTCCCTGCCAGAGATGAAGGTAAGGAAGGTAAATCATTGGCATAACAGAGGCCTTTAAAAAGCAAGCCTCTGTACCCATTTGGTTGCGGATTGCTAGCAAATGCCTTGCCAGGCTCTCTGCAGTGAACTACCTCACCACCACACGGAGAAAGAGTCAAAACAAAAAGCCTCTATTTATTATAAAACTTTAATTGGCTTTAAAGAATGACTGTCGTGCTGTCTGACGCTTTCAAGTGTTCTGTACAGGAGGAGACATAAAGCATGAATCATTGCACTTGTTTTTCAGCATCTTTCTTGCCACGTTTGCTAATTATTTAATCTCCCATGTCAGAAGTGGGACTTTTGCTCCTTTTTCTGCTCTTTTTTTTCCTTTCCGATTTTCTCCTGCATTAGAATATAGCATGGGTCTTGCCTTGGTGCATTTTAGGCACAGATGGCACTGATCTGGAGGGGCCAACAAGAGGGAGGGATTCAGAAAGGGGTTAAACACATGAATGGTTGGGAAATAACCCACAGCAATTCAACAAGACAGTCCAACATAACTTACTGCATCAGTTCCTCATCTTGACAAAAGCTAAGTGTCTAGGCACCAGGTCCACTCTCTGCTCTTATCTCGTTCCCATAAGCATCTCCTACTGACCGTGTTGGATATGGGATACTTGCCCCAAGCTGGGAGAGCCTCTCATTAATCTGTTTGCCTGTTAGTCTGGTCAGCTCCAGGCTCACAGATCCCTATATGCACATGGGCCCTGTGATAAGTAACCAAGAGATGTTCATAGAATCATAGTCATACAGTGGTTTGAGCTGGAAAGCACCTTAAAGCTCATCCAGTTCCAACCCCCAGCCACAAGCAGGGACATCTTCCACTAGAGCAGCTTGCTCCAAGCCCCATGTTTGTTGATCAGCACCAAAGATGTGCTGCTTTGTTGGGACAGAGCAGCTGCTCCTCTCCATTTAGAAGAAAAGGGGTTCTCCCTGCAGAATAGGGGCAACAACACAGCATTTTCTACTGCACCCATCACTGTCTTAATACACGTACACTCTTCTTTTCATCCCTGTGACAAGGTCCTCCACATGGAGCGAAATCAGCCAAAAAACCTGCATCCACTAGAAATGGATAGAAGATTTCAGAGAGGAAAAGTATATTTTTTTCTAGCCTGCAGCACTGAAACAGACGTCCTAAAATAATTCAAGATACCCTGGGGGTAAGCTGCTAGAAAAGCCCATACAGACAGATGGACAGAAGTCATAGCCATGTCTTTATATACTGTAAAAGATTACTAACAAAATCCTCCAAAAGCCAAACCCGCAGATTTTCAGCTAAAAGTTACAGATGCTGATGTAGGGTCTATCTTTGGGACAGAAAACAAACAAGTTACACCAGCCCCTTGCAGAAAGTGGGGCTCAGCAGTGTCTCTGCTGCTCTGTGGCACAGTAAGTGTCCTCCTCAGCAAACACAGACCTTAAAAACAGAAATAAGAGTGAAGACCACAGCAATGCAGCAAGATCTCATCCACTGTCCCACACTTTCGGGCAGGACCTGCAGGGTATCAACAGCTTTCTACTTGTCCTGGAAAACTGGGCTTTTTCCTCTGTCTCTAGCTCCCAAGGGCTGGCATCCTGAGGGATGCTCCCCTCTACCAGGCTGCATGCCCATGCTGTGATTTATCTCCTGGCAGCAGAGCAACATGGCACAGTGGCTTCTGATGCACACATCACCCTCCTGGAGAGATACATCTTGGAAGGGGAGATGAAAGCATCGCCTGGGATGCTCACTTGTGGTCTGGGGCCACTGCATGGTGCCTCTGAAAGCTGCCACCATTTTTAAGCACGGGAGCTGGGAGGTGGGAAAGGAGGAAGAAGAGTCTCAGATGTTAGTGGAGAACAAATAATAATACCCCTAATAAGGCTGCATAATTTTATGGATCCTGCTTCCTCATCTTCAAAGGGCATCCCCCAGCTTTTGGCAAGCCCCTGTGAAGCAGAAGCTAGTCACCAGCCCTGTGCCAGCTCAGAGTTTAGCACTAGTGAGATTGAAGGTGCCCATTGATAGCATTCAAATGTTAGAATACAAATGTCAGCTGCCAGTGGGGACTGCTCACCATGGGAAGGAAACCTGTGCAAGGAGCAGCCCGAATTATGGGTGCTTTGGAGGAAGAGATTGGAACTGCTTTAAGTAATAACCAAGCACCTTGTTATGAGTGCTGCAAGGAAACTGCTCAGCTTCATGTAGGATGGTGGCAGAGCATCATCTGTGTCATGGTTTGACCAAAACCAGACAATGTGTCCCCTTCTCCCCAGTGTATAAGAGCAGCTTTGATGCCTCCTTTTCCTCTCCATCAACCCTCTGTACCTCCCTTTTAGCCATCAGAGGGTCCAGCCCAGTGCTCACCCAGGTGAGAGCTTTATGTTCCTCAAGCAGAAAGGTCCAGGTCATCTCTTCCCACCGAGCTGAGGTTCCCCAGTCTCTCCATCACCCCCCTCCAGGGACTTCAACCAGAAGGGCTGAGGATGCTTCTGTGCTGGAAGGACAAGAAACTGGCCACACACAGGACCTTTGCAAGGTAGTCTTTTTGCAATCACAGCCTTAAGGTGTGCTCAACCTGACACCCAAATACATCTGAAGAAGGGATTCCAGCACCCATGAAGCCTCTCCAGGTATCACAGCCCTCCTCAGACACTTCATAGACAGTGCAAACAATGTGCAAAGGGTTATCGGCGAGTTGCTGCTGGGGCAACTTAGTGACCCATGCAGGCAATCAGCTTATGATATGAGGGATAGGATCATGTTGGCTGAGCAGGCACAGCTGCTAATGTTATTCTTGTTCATCAGGATACTTAATCCGACTTCTTTTTTGTAATAAAACTAAATCCTCAATGACTATTTGCCTGAGGCTTTAGTTAGAGCAGCTAATGGGGCCGTCACGTGAACTGAACTCTCAGTATGCAGTAGTGAACAGTAGCGAGATAGCCAAACTCCACTAGGGAGGGCAGGGAAAACCCAAATGTGGGAGGAGAAAAACACATGCAAAATGCTCTTCTGTGATTGTAGAGCGTTGTGAAACTTCAGGATGAATGGGTGTGAGAAGAACCGATAAATCCATATACAGAGAGAGGTCAGGAATCACTATAACTCTTAGAAAGTCCTAAACACCAGTGTCACAAGCCCTGGGGATGGGAAATGGGGCAGGCTGGAGTTAAATGGGAGCAGAGCTCATACGAGCAAGCTACTGGGCAAAAGCAGAAGCACATCCCTATTGCCTCATGAGCAAGAGCTCATGGCTGCGGGTCACCCCAAAGGCAGGATGTGCCAGCAGTCCCAAACCCTGCGATGGTGCTGGGATGTGGTGCAGAGATAGTTTGTGACTGCTTCCTTCCCCCCAGACACACAGACGCGCCAGGTCTTGGCACAGAGCAGCAAACCTCATTCAGGAGACAGCATAGAGCACGTGCATCCTGGAACTGGTGCCAGGAGCTGAGTGCTGGCACCATCCCACTCCACAAAGCCATGTCCACAAAGCCATGCCCCGGGTGCTGTCTGCACCCTCCTGGCTTTGCAGGAAGCCATGCACCCACTGATCACCTGCAGTCCCATTACACCCACCAGCCAAAGAGACCACAGGGAGCCCTGGAAAGGGTTTAAAAGTTTAAAACCTTGAAAGACCTCGGGAAGAGGAGTGTCAAAGGGCTAAAAAAAACTGGGGCTGTTGAGCCTGGAGAAGAGAAGCTGCATGGAGACCTCAGAGCAGCTTCCAGTGTCTGAAGGGGGCTACAAGGATGCTGGAGAGGGACTCTTCATCAGGGACTGGAGTGATAGGACAAGGGGTGATGGGTTCAAACTGAAACAGGGGAAGTTCAGGTTGGAGATAAGGCAGAAGCTCTTTCCTGTGAGGGTGCTGAGGCGCTGGCACAGGGTGCCCAGAGAAGCTGTGGCTGCCCCATCCCTGGCAGTGTTCAAGGCCAGGCTGGACACGGGCTTGGAGCAAGCTGCTCTAGTGGAAGGTGTCCCTGCCCATGGCAGGGGCTAGAACTGGGTGAGCTTTAAGGTCCCTTTCTACCCAAACTATTCTATGATTTTATATCCAAACCCAAAGCAGGAGTTGTTACCATGCAATCATTTTTTGTAGCTTATTTTCTTGTTTTGTTTGCAGCCCCCTATTATCCCTCTCTGTGAGCAGCCAGAGCAATTCACACCTGATTTACTTTGGGCACAGCATCCCTCTGAGCCAAGTCCTGTGCCCATCCCTCAATGCCACATAAGTCCTGCAGCCAACAAGTTCCCAAGGCATGCATAGCACACAAAAGAAAGAAAAGAAATGCTGGAAGATTAGACCCTGAGCTGAAACTAATTGTTCAATAAGCCATGAACAATATAGCGTTCGTGTGGTTTGCTTCCCGGCCTTTCATCTGCAGGAAGGAAAAATAAACAGTACAGGAGAAGGGCAGGAGGTGCCAAGAGCCACAACGGGGTTAGAATCAGAGGCACAGGCAGGAGGGGCAGTGTCTGAACCAGGATGGCATTCAGAGCAGCCCTGCAGAGAAGGATTTGGGGGTGTTGGTCGATGAGAAAATGAACATGAGCCGGCTTCAGTGTGCGCTCACAGCCCAGAAAGCAACCGTATCCTGGGCTGCATCCAAAGGAGCGTGACCAGCAGGTCCAAGGAGGTGATCCTGCCCCTCTGCTCTGCTCTCGTGAGACCTCACCTGGAGCATTGTGTGCAGTTCTGGTGTCCTCAACATAAAAAGGACATGGAACTGTTGGAACAAGTCCAGAGGTGGCCACGAGGATGATCAGGGGCTGGAGCACCTCCTGTATGAAGACAGGCTGAGGAAGTTGGGGCTGTTCAGCCTGGAGAAGAGAAGGCTGCATGGAGACCTCATAGCAGCCTTCCAGTATCTGAAGGGGGCCTGCAGGGATGCTGGGGAGGGACTCTTCATTAGGGACTGTAGTGATAGGACAAGGGGTGAGGGGTTTAAGCTGAAACAGGGGAAATTCAGGTTAGATATAAGGAAGAAATTCTTTACTGTGAGGGTGGTGAGGCACTGGCACAGGTTGCCCAAAGAAGTGGTGAATGCTCCATCCCTGGTGGTGTTCAAGGCCAGGTTGGACAGGGCCTTGGACAACATGATCTAGTGTGAGGCATCCCTGCCCATGGCAGGGGGTGGAACTCATGATCTCAAGGTCCTTTTCAAACCAAACCATTCTTTGATTCTATACTGCTTCCTCTTAGTCCCATAACATTACTGCCTGCTCTCATGGGTGAGCTACTTTACCGAGTAGCTGTCAGTCCTTTGGTCAAAGACGGGTTTGATTCTGCCTGGAGTAAATCAACAGCATGATTCCCAAGCTAACAACATCTGAGTCTAGCCCACAAAGCAGATGAGAAACAAGACCTTCCATTCAAGGCTATTATTCAGGCAACATCATCATCTCATTCAGATGAGATTAATTGACAGGAATAAAAAGGAATATGGTGATAACTCCGGACATATAGAACATTTTTATTCATGCTGGGAAGAAGCCCAGATGTAATAGAGTTGCTCAGACACCCCCCATCTCTTGCCCCTCCTCACTGCAGTCAGCACCATCAGCAATTTTCTCTCCTGATCCCTAATAAACTAAGGGCAGGCCGGGATCTGGGGCACCCAATGAGACAGCATCCTATCAGATTGCTGGTTGTTGCATGACTACAGAAATTAACCATCTACCCAACATATGGGTCCCAAAGAGTTTCCTGCAGAGCTCGCTCCTCCCTCCAACCTCCATCCCCCAAGCAGGATAATCCCCTTATTGTTATTTAGAGACACAGAGATGGGTCTGATCCACAGCGCCAAAATCCCCGTGTCTGGAAAGGACTGAGGAAGAGAAGAGATTAGAGATTCACCTCGCATGAAGGGGAAGAACTGAAGAGTCAGATCCAGACTGCCCTGAAATCTGTGAGCATCTGAAACTTGGATCCTAACCCAAACTTCTCAGATGCAGCCTGGCTCCATCATCATGTTGTGTGTCCGTATGATGGACTTGCTGCGACTTAGCAACTAAGAGCTGAGTGCTTCTATGAGCTTGAAGCTTAAGGAAGGAAAAAGATGATCAGCTTCAAAGCAGGGACAAACACTGAAGAGTTCAGGCACGTGAAACCTAGATATAAGGAGGAAATTTTGGTGGGGAAACACTGCAACAGGTTTCCCAGAGAGGTTGCAGGTGCCCCATCCCTGGAACATTCAGGGTCAGGTTGGGTGGGTCTTTAAGCAGCCTCATCTAGTTGAAGATGTCCTTGCTCACTATAGGTGTGTTGGACAAGACAACCTTTAAAGGTCCTTTCCAACCCAAATTACTCTATGATTCTATGAAATGAAGCAGGGCATAATCTCCCTGGTCAGGGGAGCATTTGTGTTACCAACCCTGGGGCTCATGCATGGGTTAGTGACTCCAAGCTAAAGGTAAAGCTTCCTGCACTGGACCTGAACTGGGGTGTCCAGCTTTCCCCTATGAGTAAATGCATAGCACAATCCAGACCAAGTAAAATTACTACAAGCCTTCAGCTCCCAGAGAAGCTTCCCAGTGAATGGCAGGGAGGCAACAACACGGCTTTACACAAGCACATGGGCAATGGGATTACCTGCACCATATCCCCCAGTACATCAAACACAATGCTGCCCAACTGGGTGGAATATAGTCAAGGCAACTGGAAGGACATATCACTGATGGAGCAGTCACAGTGTTAAAACAGGACCAGCATCTTTGTGTCAAGATTGAGATTGCCAAACGTTTTCTCTCCAAACACAGTCCTAACCCACTGCCTGCTCATGTGGCATAAAGAAGGAGAATAGGACCCAAAGATGCCCAAAGATGGGCTACGCTAGCCCAGTGCAATCCTGCCCTCTCTCCTGCTTCATGTGCTAGAGACAACCAGGAGGCCAATCCCAGGTTGACCAGTTGGAACCTAAAAGGGAAGCAGGGGAGAACTCAGTGCTGCAGCATCTGCCTGTGTGAGATACTTCATCATCTGAAGAGAAATGCACAGGCAACCTGATCAGCTTTAAGCAGGAGGGATGATGTCTTACAATATACTGAGACTGGATGGGGCACCAGCTCACCTTCCACAGTCTCATCATTTGGGATGTTTTACTGCAGAGCAGAGTCTTTCAGATGCTGCCTCCCACAGAATTAATTTTTCTTCCTTTCACACGTGGTCTTGGTGCCACCATAAAATTGCCAGGCAAAGAAAAACCAACTTTAATTGCTTCTCAGAGCCTGTCATTCCTTAAAACCAAGAAATCCTGGGTTGCTTTGCTCACACTCCAAAATCAGTGTAAGGTCAGATCCAGAGGGAAATGAAACCCAGTGAAAACTTACTTTCTGTCTTCCAACCTAGAAATTCCATCAATATGCCCCAAGGCAGCCAGGAATACCTGGGATATGAGGGCTGGGCTCTAGGGCCTTTGGGGAATACCTTGCAGCCGTTTGGAAGTGGGATGCCAATACACTGCTCTGTGCTGTTCCTGATTCAGTGCCCTGAAGAACACATACTCCTCGATGGATTTTTCCACCTCTCCTGGGACTGCATGGCTGAGGCAAACCCAACTCTTCTGTCTCCCCAGCTGCCGTGCCTGTAACCCCAAATCCTTCCATGAATCAGCATTATCGACGTGCTCGTTGTGGCAGCAGAATTAACTGCAGGGGTGATTTTACCAGCGCAACACGTCAATCCCGTTTTCTATTATTAGGCATCTGTGTGCTATGTTCATTGATCCTGGGCACTAAATTTCCTCAGGGGTTAACAACACTTTCATCACACAGCCAAAAATCCATGGAAGCTTAAAGAATACTCAAGTGCAAGATTCCCAGAGGTCCCTGGGGCCCGTGTTTTCTTCAGTTTACACAGACACATCAATAGATCTCCTTAATTTCATTTCATTATTCCTCCTGTATAGGATGTTTCTTCCCCCTACATTGGCTTGAAGGACAGGAAGATACACTGCCCCACTCATTAGGTGTGCCTTACATTTTCTGAGCCAATCTTCAAGCCCACAGTGAAAATATATTTAATTCCTTTGGTTTCCACAGCAATGAAATGTAAATTTTAAGGTCTCTTGTGGATGCAACGTGCGATTCCAAAGGGATCCTGTTAGAAACGTCTAATTAATGTCCTATTACAAAATGAGATCCAGTGAATATCCCCATTAGCTAAGCAAAGATGGGCAAATTTTAATATGCAAAATCAACAGTGAATAGGTAAATGAAGGCTAAATGAACAGTCCAGAGTAGATAAGAAGAGCAGACAGATACCAGGTATCGAGATGGGAGATCACTTGGAGATGCGGTAATAGAGGCAAACTGTAGCCTGGCACTACAGGTAGATGACTAATGGATGGGTCATCAGATGCAAAATGGACACTGCAACCTTGACCTGTCCTGGCTCTTAATCCTTGCTCACAAAGGCCACTTGAACACCAGATCAGGCTCACAAGGAGAGGCTGGGTAAAAAGGAAAGAAACATCTACAGGAGAGGAGATGCTCCCCAGAAATGGGTATCATTCCGGTCATCATCCTGATGCCTTAAAACCAAGCCCTGGGATCTCACTCAAGTACCAGCATCGTGTAAAGAAGGTTTAATGAAGTAGTGAACATTATATTGGTGGTTTTTTGCAGCAATTTTGCTGCCACGGTGCAACCCTAAACCCAGTAGGGTTCTTCTTGCTTCTGCAAAGTTACACCAGAAGATATGAAAATCAAAATCTGGCCCATTAGAGCTCACATTTACCTTCTGTGCAGAATGCATTTTTCTTGCATCTTCTCCAGCTAACAAGCAGATAGAAAGGGTGAGACACTGACAGCAGTAAAGACAGGAACAGTAGCTAAACGATGGCTAATGGGCAGCTGATCGAGTAGAAGGACAGATGCAGAAGGAGATTAATAGAATAGATAAACAGGCATCAGACCCCAATCTCCCAGCAATTATGGCCTGCTTGGGATACCCAAATCTTCTGCAGTTTAGCTTTCCAATAATTCCAGTTAAATTAGTTATTATCCCTCATTTGTGTTTGTCCCTGGAATTATTCTGGTGGCGTGGATCAAAGAAACACCACGGGCTTTAATGCAGCGTGTGCTTTTAAAAAGTCAAAGCATTAGAAAGTGCTCTCCACTCTAATGCATTCCCGTCTCGTGCCAGAAAGTAGATCTTTAACTTCTAATTAGTGCATTTCAGGATCTGTCCAAACAACCCTGCCATGTCTTTCCTTGCAAACACAAACAGATGAGATTCCCTTGGGAATCGGAGCCAGCTCAACACCTATCATGAGTAGCAGTGCTATCACAATTAATAAAGCATGAGCAGGCACTAAACAAGGCTGAATCCAGCTCTGTAACTGCAACACAGTTGTTTGTACTTGATTTTCCCCTTCCCAATGAGATTCACTAAAAAATTTCCTTCTGCAAGTGTACTAAAAAAAGAAGGAAGAAGATGGAAAAAAAAAAAATCTCGTTACATCTTTAATTTAAAACTCCATCAGTGGATAGAATATTTTATGGACTGATCACCTGCCAAATATTATCGTTTAAATCAAAGCTGCTCCAGAGTTCTGCATCAGCTGTGAAGGAGATAGAGTTTGAGGTTTTTTCCTCTGCTTCTGAAGCAGACACTGGCTCAGATATTGTACTGAAAATGGCCAGGAGAGTAGTGTACATGGAAGTGATAGTGAGATGGGTACATGAGAGAGGGTCTGACAGAATGAGCAGCTTGAGTCTTTGGCTGGAAGCAGCTCCCACAGAAGAGTTGGAGATCCACGTTGACCAGCCCATGCAAAGCAATCAGCAATTATTTTATATATAGATGTATATTTACATATACATCTATATATATCAGTGATGTGAAGCAAACAGATATGTGCATGGGCATCCACCAGCATCAGCTGCTGGTTGTAGATGTGTAAATGGGATGAGTCCCATCACCCATAGAATGATTTGGGTTGGAAGGGACCATAAAGATCACCCAGTTCTAACTGCCCTGTTCTGATTGTTGGGTCACAGACAGCAGTTTGACAACAACTGAAATGCAAGGAGACAGTGTTAAGGTATCTTACCAACCAAA